ACGCAGTATTGGTGTGGTGAATGTGAGACAGCGCTGCGTATAGAAGAATGCTTCAATGCGTACCATACTCTGCTCAAATTCTAATCCACCTGCTTCCATTGCCGAGATACCGGGCGCTCATATTATAAGGCAAGGTTATAAAACCATCTTTTAAGATCATTTTCGTGAAAGTTTCATGCTTCAATGCGTACGATACACTGCTCAAATTCTAAACCAACTGCTTCCATTGCCGATATACCGGGCGCTCATATTAAAAGGTAAGGTTATAAAACCACCTTTTAAGATCATTTTAGTGAAAGTTTCATGTTCCTATCTCATATAATTTAAGAACAATGATGAATAAATCATTTTCGAGCAAAATTTAAATGGCCGGCTGAATATATTACCGCCGGAGAGACACGGCAGCGGAATTTAAATGACCGCGCAAAAGGGTTAATCATATCTCATTGTGACTAGAAATCTGTGACATTGAATTTTCAATGCACATCTACATGAAAAATTACTGAAATAATCTTAATGGCGTAATTTTTGGCTGTAACCATTTTTATTTTTCATTTGATAATTGTGTTAACAAAGTTTTGTTGTATGTGGTTATGACTGATGCAGTTAGTCACAGATTTATCGACGTTGATGCCTGGATTTAATCCTAGGGTAATCCATATGGGATTTGTTGTAGACAGTATTGCTGGGTAAGGGTTTTCATAGAGAACTTCAGTTTTATCTTGCTGGTTGTCATTCTACTAATGCTTCATACTCATCTGTCATCAGGGGTTGCTACAGTAGAGGTCTTTTTTGAGGCTGCTCTACCACAGGGACTAGCCTCACTGCACCCTAAAATAATCTTGTGTGTAAGACTTTTAGGAACTCTGTGTTTTTGTTTTAGTCTTCCCTAGCTGTGAATATTATTCGCTTTTGAGACCTCCTGTGTCCTTCATTCAGCATCATTTGTGTTTTATGCAGTTGGTGAATGGAAAGACTTCATCTTTTCTGTCTTCCCACAATCCCTCTTTTTCTGTTCCTTCTCATCTCCAGCCTGTATTCACGATGGCTTGCAGTCCCTGGCTGAACAGCTTGTTCCACAGTTCTGTTTTCTTTAAATATTCATTCTAATGACCTTGATATGCTTGTTCTATCTGCATTTCCAAACCATTATAATCATGTTTCTTCTAGACCTGTTGACAGTTTTTGAACTCCAACACCTGTTCTGATTTTGTTCCTCCTTGTTTTTCCTTGTTCTCAAAAATTTCATCTCCATTGCCTGGATTTTGTTTTTGTTTCTGTTTCCCTTTGGGTGTGTCCATGTTTCAGCCCTACATATGTTAGTATCAGTTTCAGATATACTTTGTACATTTTGGAAGCTGTATGTATATGATTAATGTTTGCAGCAACTGATGGAACACTGAAGATAGTGACTAAGGTGGCCATACCACCATCTCCAGGCTCACAGTCAACTACTGGGAAGACTACATTAACATCACTTCTTACAAACACAACCAATAGCACACCTGGCAAGACACTCGTTGGGACAAAGAGAATATTCATGACGAAGGGTTAGTAAAATGTGAATTTTTCTGATTGTGTGTTTTTAAATTTCTTCTTTGTTTGTGTAAAGAGTGCAGTGTATATGTGTTGAACATTACCAGGAAGTGAGAAACATTCTTAGTCAGATATGCTTCAGTGTCAGTTTCTTTATATGCTTACCCTTACATTTCCACATGGTGTAACGTCAGTTTTTGCCGTTTGGCCATGTTGTCTGATTTTGTGTATGGCTAGGATTTACTATAGGGGCATGAAGTAGTATAGTTGGTTGAGGCAGTATGCTACAAGCTGAAAGGTTGGGGGTTCTGTTCCCAATGAGGTCATTGAATTTTTTCAATTGACCTAATCCTTCCAGCGGCACTGTGGCCCTGTGGTTTACAAAGTCTTTAACATAACTGAATATCAGGGATCTTCCTTGGGGGGGGGGTAAAGGGTGGCTGGCATATGTAAGGTTGACAACCTCACAGCCATCTCTGAGCTGATTGTCTAGAAAATGTGGGAGCCTTGACCTCTCACAACACTATGGGCCTCCATGGCCTGTTACCCTTTTACCTAGGATTTACTATATAAGTGTGAGAAATAAAATTTAAAATTTTGATTGAAAATATCGAATGTTTGTTTGTGTTTGTCCTTGAAATTCTGGAAGTGAAATTACTTTGTCCTTAGGTACAGATGGCACAACTCGAATTATTTCAGGGCATACCACTAGCATTTTACCAAAAACTGCAGGACAGCAGGGGCAGTCCCTGATTAAGATACAGCCCTCTACCCAAGCTTCTGTCACAGCAGCACCACCAACACAACAAAGGGTTCAGATACTGAAGGGTGCAGATGGGAAGATTCAAGTACGAGGTCTGATGCCAGGTGTAGTAATTCAATTTTTTATTCATTCACACATTGCTCTTACTTCTAGCATCGTTTCCATTTTGTCTCCGGTGTCTGCAATCTTCCCACAATCTTTTTTTTTTTATTTATTTATTTCCGTCTCTTCCCTGTTATCATGGTGTCTTCCAGTATCTGACTGAATGATACTGTTCAGGTTCATCCTTTAGGCCTCTTTCCTTTCAATTTTAATTCCAGTGCCTGTCTTACTATCCTTGTTCTATCCATTCTTTCTGCATGGCCAAACCATTCAGTCATTTCTCTTCCAACCCCATTAACTAATTTTGAACTTGGCTACTTTTGGAGCTGATCACAGTGGCTGTGCGGTCTAATGTATGAACCGTCTTTGCCCACTGAAACACTTGTGTTGTAGGTTCGAATCCCATTTGAGGCATGAATGTCTGTGTTTATTCTGCGTTTGTGTTGTGCTGTGTGTAGGTAGTGGCCTTGCGACATTATGATCTCCTGTCCAAGGAGTCCTGCCAACTATGTATAAGCTTAAGAAACTGGAAAAGAGCCAAGTTCCAAAGGACAGTGGAGCCATAGAGAGAGAGAGAGAGAGAGAGCGCGCGCTCCTCTTGGAACTCCATTTCTGTCCCTATCCTCAGTACTAATTGAGACGCTAATCTTGTTAATAATTACTGTGGGATTTTTGTTTGAACGTTTCATCTTCCCTTGTCTCGAACTTGAATATTGAGAGTCAGGCAATATGCATTGCTTGTGAGAAGGACGAGTGAACTGATAAAGAGTCAGATTGCAGTCTTCTGGGTTTATAACATGATGCAGTGTGATAGATGGGAACAGACTTTGTAGGAACTTTTTGCCTTCTACTTTAATGTTTCATTGTATTTGTCCTGCGTATACAGTGAACAGCAAATAACAGGCTATTGTTCTGCAGGTCAACAGTTGGTGCAGATGCCAGATGGTAAACTTCATGTTCTTAATACAGCCCAGGTGCAGACTTCTCAAATACAGCAGGTAGGTTCAAGAATACCAACCTGCTTTTCACGCTTCCATAATTTGGGATATTGTGTACTGTTGCATACTGGCAGAGAGAAACAGTGATCAGATGTATGTTTGAAGGAGTTTTTCCATGACACTAAACGTGCACTAAACAGGAAAATCTTAAATGGAAGGAAAGTAACACTGATATTATTGGTGTCAGATTACTGAAATTAAACATTAAATGAGGGAGAATCCAAAGTTGAAGGATGTTATGGGAGTTTGCATTATCCCATATTTACTAGTCCCTCAGTTGAGGAATGGGTGCAAATTTTAGGAATAAGAAGACATAGAAATGCAGTTGCATGCAAATTGTGTTCCCATTTCAGGTAGCAGGAAACAGGGTGCTGGCAGCTGGCACAAAGGGAACCGTGATCCGTACAACCACGGCTGGAGCACAGCAGCCCGCAGCAGTGAAATCAAATGCTATGCCAACGAAACAAATTGCCATTGCCGCTACTCCTGCCACTGCTATACAACAAAAGGGGACCAGCGACATTCCACAGAGCCCTACAAAACCCCCACAGCAGCATATAATGATACGACAACAGATTGCTGGTGCACAGGTTGTGCAAAAAGTGGCTGCCCAGCCTGGTACAGTGGTTGTCAGTGGAGGTCAGGTGTTTTCTCCTGGCCAGATTGTAGTCAGTGGCAATCAAGTTGTTGGGTCCCCTACACAGGTTGGTTTTCTGAGAATTTTGAAATGTTTTGGACCAGGGTTCTGTGGAGAATGTGTAGACTGTGTGAGAGGAAGTAACAGGAGGTTGGAGAAATTGCATAATGAGGAGTTCCATGATTCGTACTCTTCACCAGATCCGGGAGGTGAGTTGAGTGAGACATGAAGAATTGATGGGACAGTTCAGAAATGCAAGCAAAACTTTAGTTGAGAAACTCCGATTGAAAAGGGGCGACTTGGATGATCAAGGCAGAGGAAGGACGATAATGTTAACATGGATCATAACAAAGGAACTGTGTCATTACAATTCCATACATATACAGTGATATCCATTTTTAATGGATAAAGGTGGTGAGATGGTTTTTTTTCATAGTAAATTAAGGTTTTCACTATGGAGGTTATGCAAATTACATAAAAAATCTTTCATCTTATAAGATATCAACTCACTCATGGAGCTGTGACCTTGAGAAGCTGCCAATTATGCAGCCACTGAAGAACTTCACAGCATTTTATGGAACCCAAAGGTTCATTACCATGTTCACAAGAGCCCTCCACTGGTCTCTATCCTGAGGCAGATCAATCCAATCCATACCATCCCATCCTTTCTCTCTCAGATCTATTTTAATATTATCCACTCACCTATGTCATGGTCTTCCAACTGGTCTATTTCCTTCTGGCTTTCCCACCAATATCCTATATGCATTCCACTTCTCCCCCATTCATACTACATGCCCTGCCATCTCATCCTCCTTGACTTAATCATTCTAATTATACTTTGCGAAGAGTACAAGTTATGAAGCTCTTCATTATGTAGTTTTCCCCATCCTCCTGTCACTCAATAAGGCATCAGCTGTATGTAATTTTGATAAAATAATTTCTTTTATATGTGAATGTATTAGGGGTGGGCCTTCTCGTCCCTTGCCCTGCGACATACAGTAGTCTGTTGTGCTTTTTCTTTTATATAAGTAGCTAATGAAATAATCAGTGCACCAGACATGAAGCCTCTCCAGTGTCTGATTTCCCACGCACTTTTAGTAGCCCCTTTTAGAGTTTTGCCACTTTTCCTAATCTTCCTGTCATTTGAAATGTGCCCACCTCACTCTAGTTTTCTGTATGGATACTGTCCATGTGGACGGGTCTTTCCCACTTTTTGGAGTTCCACTTTTTTTTTTATTTGTTTCATTCTGGTCCATCACACTAACAATTACAAAGGCAAAAATAATACTGTCTAATGTGACTATTTAAGTTTTATCACTTGAGGATTTTTCTCCCTTACATGTTTCGATCCTTAACGGATCATCCTCAGAGGGTATCAATACTTTCAGAAACTACTATTACAATAGATGTTAATTATATAGATACACATATGATATCTGAAATGCACAATGTACACAGTGTTCAACCTTCCACATTCATGGTGGCCTTCTTGGTGTTAAAACTTTTTAAAAAAGTTTTGATACCCTCTGAGGATGATCCGTTAAGGATTGAAACACGTAAGGGAGAAAAATCCTCAAGTGATAAAACTTAAATAGTCACATTAGACGGTATTATTTTTGCATTTGTTCCATTTTATATTCAGATATATCCCAAGATCTCGCTTTGTATACCTGTTCGCATGTTCTTACATTTTACAGTGTTTTAGCATGGTAATATTCAGGCCATTAGACACTGACTTTGAACCATGGAGCTTCAGGTTCAATATCAACTAACTTCATGTACGATTTGTGGTGGATGAAGTGACTCAGAAGCTGTTTGTCCTCTTAATGTCTTCACTACTCCCTGAGGTGTGCGTTAGCCTTGACCATGCAACACATTGTCACGTCCTTGCTTTAAACTTTGCACAACATGAGGCAATTAGATTGGCTGTGTATACTTGCGTTAAAACCGCTGCAGCTGAGAAATCGACTCAGTGTTAACCCTTTGACGTGGTCATTTAAATTCCGCGGCCGCGGCTCCTGCGGTAATATATTCAGCCGGCCGTTTAAATTTTGCTGGAAAATTATTTATTCATCATTGTTCTTAAATTCTATGAGATAGGAACATGAAACTTTCACTAAAATGATCTTAAATTGTGGTTTTATAACCTTACCTTATAATATGGGAGCCCTGTATCTCGGCCATGGGTGCAGGTTGTTTAGTATTTGAGCAGTGAATGGTACGCCTTGAAGGATGAAACTTTCACTAAAATGATCTTAAAAGATGGTTTTATAACCTTGCCTTATAATATGAGCACCCGGTATCTCGGCTATGTAAGCAGGTGACGCCTTGAAGCATTAGTCTAAACACAGCGCTGGCTCACATTCACCAAACCAATACTGCGTATCTTTTCTTTTGCTCTTTTTTTTCTAACCACACTTCTGTGCGGCCCTGCCTTCTTCCCCGTGGGGGGAATACAAGTGGAAATGTCTCTCCGTGAGTCGTATATTTTGACAGATTAGCTGCAGTAAATTCAACCTTTGTGTTATCATAACAAGGGTTTGGTGCTTCTGCGTTTCAGATTCCAACCTTTTCGGCTGCCCCAGATGTCGTAGGGGTGACCACAGAATTCATGAAGTTATTATAAGAACTGGCTGGTATATAGTGAACGAAAGCAGAGCTTAGCTGGCTCAAAAAAAATATTTATGGTCATCCCTCGAAACGACCACCAAGGTCAGTACGATAAAATGGCGTCAACTGGAGCGATAATACATGAAGGAATGAGTTCTTTTCCCTCCCCCACACACATCCGTATCGTCTCAGGGGGTGACCACAGTGTTCTGCCTTAAATTGTGGCGTTCTTCTAAGAACTGGGCCTTTGTACTGTGCGAAATCAATGGATCATGCGAGAATAAATTTCTGGACATCCCTATTCTAAGAATTCCAATTGAGTGTGTTAGAGTGGCCAGCTCAGGGCAATATGATATTATAAACACATCACATCACGTCTCTGCTGTTTATAACTTCGTAGCAAAGGAAACACGACATTCATTACGGTGAAACCGCTAGCAAGAGCCACAGGAACTTTGCTGCAAGACAGGCATATGTAACAATGACTTAGCGCAGATAAAGACGTGTCATATTATACTCTGTACTACTGACAACATGCCAGCGAAAAATCTAACAATCTACAGCAAAACCATCAATTATTATGGGCGTTATAACATAGGTGTGCAGCTGGACGAAACATACACGTCGAACCCCCCCAGACGATTTAAATACCTGACGAAACATACACATCAAACCACGGCAACGGGTTAATGATATGGTATTAATTGTGATATATTAATGTTTAGAGGATGGAACAGGCTTTCGATCTGCTATACCTGTGGTCATATGAAAATCATCTGAGAAGAAACTGGGTGGTCCAGTACAACTGCATCTATCCCCAAGCAGCTTTTTTGTTACAAGATGTAGTTTTGTGTTTGACTTGGCAGTCAAAGGATTACATTTGGGGCTTCGTCTCTGATCCAGCATTTAGCTGGATATGGAGTGAAGAAGTCTAATTATGCCCATTGCTCCGGCACTTAGCTTTGCATAATGGTATTTGTACTTGTGTTCAGGTGATGACTACAGGCGGACAGCTGCTAAGCACAGGTCAGCTGGTGGTGAGCGGGTCGAATCTCGCAGCACAGTTGGCTTCAGGGAAAGCTCAGCTGGCAACCATTGGTGGGCAGCAGGTGTTTATTCGGACAGTAACACCTGGTGCTAATGCTGTTGTGGTTTCTGCTGGTGCCACAGTACCAGCTCTGACGTCAGCCAGTGTTGCAGGTGGTACTACTGTGGCTACAGCAGGCGGCAACTTGTTGGTCAAGACTGTTACAACACCAGCATCTCTTGGCCAGCAGCAGACAGTACAAGTATGATACTGCATAATGCCATTACTTATGTAATGTCCCTTCTGTCCCTTTTGGGAGGGGAGATATAGTATAGAGCTTTTGTGCTGTATGATGTCCTCTCTCAAAATGAGGGTTGAGGTTCCGACCGAGGACTATGATGGTTACTGTCATCTGGCATTAAACGCTGTAAAGTGTGGTAGTGTTGGGGTAGACCCTGAAGATGTAGGCAGTAGGTTTCTCCCAAACTTTTTGTAGCAGTCTACACATTTAGCATCACATCGCAGTAGACAGTAACCCTGATCTCTGTCACTTTCTCATGATGAATAGTTCTGTTTTCATCTCTGGTACCACATGGGTTGGCATGTTGATAACACGCTTGACTCATATGGAGAAGTGCTGCATTCATATGTAAGCCGGGATGCCGGCTATCCTGACTGAGTTAGTTTGTGGTGTTGGTAAGTTGCTCTGGGCAAATGGTAGGAATGTACCATTTAGTCCGTGACCCCATGCTAGATCTTTTCCTGTTCATCCTCAGTCATCCTGCCATTGACACTGTATAGTCTAACTATAACCCCTCAGTAGAGATTATTTGTGATTGTGCAAGAATCGTCCCATTGACTGCAACTTATGCTGCTGGCATATGAAGCTATGGTACCGACAGTTCTGCTCTTCCAGTTTGCCACTAGAGGCCGTTTGGAACGTCCAGAAATAGGTGAAAGTTTTTTTTCGAATGAATTGCTGTGATTTTTGTTCTGGGTTTGGAAGAGGCAGTTGTAAAACACCTCATGCTTGCTGTATGTGATTTTCAGTACTGATGTGGGATTTATGTGCTTGGGGATGACATGACAGGCTGGCAGGATGTTAGGACAACTGGAACTAATTGAAGCAGTGGTACCATAAGTCTAACACAGACAGGAAGAGGGTGTGGTTCTGTGTGTGCATGTGTGTGTCTGTAAATGCTCTAGAATTGTGGTATGTAAGGGTAAAGGTAAAGATAAAGGCCCCATCATAGCTCAAGTGGTTAGTCACTGGCTTCCCACTGCGGCGGCCCGGGTTCGATCCCGGGTATGATCTAGTGGGCTTAGTGATGGACAAAGTGGCGCTGGGGCAGGTTTTCTCCTAGTGCTTCAGTTTCCCCTGCAAATCTTCACTCCACCAAATTCTCCATCATAATCGCCCGGGGCAGGTACAATAGGCCAATCAATGCCTGCCATGCCAAGTGGACCCAGCTGGACTCCACCCCCCACCAAGCGAAAAGGATAAAGGTAAAGTTGTCTCTGTGTGTAATTAATATGACACCATGCCACAAATATTGTCACATGTGTGAGTGACTATAGATGGGGTTTGGATTGGTAATTGGGTTTTATGAACACTTACAGAACATAACTACAAATAGCTATAGTGCTAACATTAATTCACACACTCTGTGGCTCAGTACAGTAAATATAAAATCTTCTGAGTCTGCTGTGTCTTTTCCAGTTTACTGGTAATGGCTTCCAGCAGTGGACGTTTCGCTTTTTATTGGGTCCTGAACTGTCCCCATGGCTCAGGTACCAGCTTGGAACAGGAGCGGCTGTAACTAACCAACTCACTCCACTCCACTAATTAAATCCCAGCCTTGTGGCCCTTTCACACTGACCTCCTACGCTTCTCACTGTCATCTCAAGACCCTTCTCTAAAGGCATCTGGCCCTCGTTATATAGACTCTGCGTGGAATGCACAGAGAATGTCGCCCCCAACAGCTCTTCCATTGTTGCATGTGTATTGTGGCCATTACCTAGCAACAGGTGTCATAGGGCTGCTGATTTCATGGTCGCATAGGGCTGCTGATTTCATGGTCGTTGCCTAGCCTGCATGCCACAATATATATGAGGCAGTGGAGGTATAGATCCATGTATTCTTGCTTGTGGCACTAGATGGAGGGGAATGCTTAGCTTCACTTCCTGGCTAATGTACCACCAGAAAAAGAGTCCCTGGTACTCACTGGATAGGAGGCTGGGTGGGCCGAAGGTCATTCTGGACACTATTGAGAAGAGAAGAATATCTTTCCCCTGCTTGGACTCAAACTCCCAGTCCCAAGCCATCCAGCCTATAGCTACCGTTGTACCATCTGAGGTATATGACTCCTAAAGGTGTGGTGGCATTGGCCTGCTGACCCGTTAGGACGAGATCTGTATAATGTGTCCATTCAGTGGGATTAAGTGCACAGTACACGAGTAAACCCTGATGGTGTATTTGTTGTTGTCACTGTTGAACTGTTGTGTTCTAATTTTGTCAAAAGCCCATGCGTCTTGCATACTTTCTAGTCATTTGTTATTTTCCAGCTCTTTTAATCAGGTGGACTCACAGTAAATGATTCTTTGATTAAGCTACCAGTACATATAAAAGCACCATGGTTAATCCAAAAATTGCGCAATTCATTTGCAGATAATAATGACTTTACTATGTTACTATATATGTAACTTTTATTTTTTACTTTTTCATGCCGAGGACCAAGTACAGAGTACCCAAAGATTTTATGAAATTGACTCCATTCTCTTGCAGTTGCCTACTGTAGCCACAACTGTTGAAGTGTTGTGCAAGTATTGTGGTAGAGTTTTTGGATGTGACTTGAATCCTCATTCCCAGTCAGTCATTTTGTTTTAGGTACAGAAGTGAACTTTAATTTCTTAATTTGAATGCTTTGCTCCGTTAAAAGTTTTAGCGTCTATACGCTGTAGTATTTACAAGGAAAGCAACCCATATCCCAGGCAAAGAGCAGGTACATCTCCTAGTTAAATATAAATATTAGCTTTACATTGTTTTTGCTTCTACCCAAAGTATGTTAAGCTTCCAGATGGGAATGTGGTTATTACTTCAGAGATATTTACAATGTTTCCAGCAACAGGAGCTTCAGATGTTTACAAAATGATATTTCTGATACTTTCTCAATTGTCAAAAATAGTTAACACATTTCTCTTTTAAAAAATTAGATAAGAAGGTAAAGTTATTCCTATGTTTAATTGAGTGCCATGCCATGACTTCTTGTATGGCTCCACGTACTCGTAACCTTGGCATTAGATTGGCGATCAGCTTCATGCTGCAACTGTGTTATCTCCAGAAGGACTCTCCATGGTGCTTATTAGGTATGACATGGCTTAGATCCCATAATCGGTCTGGATGTAGTAGCAAAGGGAAGATTGCCTAGTTGTCCAGCCCATAGCTTAGTCACTACACCAACTGAGCTATCCTGGCTTGTGTTCAAAAGATAGAGAATATTTATAGTGCAGTCACATTTCCCTTGCTTTTGTATTTGTCTGCTGCATGATGCAGCAAAAAAAAAAAAATGCTGGCATGTTCCACAGATTCATTGGTTTTCCTTCAATTTTGAGGTACCCGCGAAATCGATGAAATCGCCTGTAGGTGCAAGTAGTAGCAGTAATGTAACTAGTAATGCAGCTTCTCCAACCAGGGTGCAGCAGACTGCAGTCCAGGTAAGATCAGCAACGTTCAGAACCTAATTGTTAGGAAATTACTGGTCATTCATATGCATGTCTGTAGTCTTGAATCATTTGGACAAAATGTCAGTGTCTCATGGGTAGCATTTTTGCTTTGTATTTGGAGTGTTTTTGGTTCAAAAATCAGCTGAAGGACTAAGGCTTTTTAAGCGGTTTTCCTCAGTCTCTCCAAGACTTCCAGGTTAGTAGTACCTTAAAATTAAGCCACAACCACTTCTGTCACATCCTTTGCAGTTCCTTATTCCTGTCACTCTGTCATTTAAAACTGTGTACTCCATCTGGCAGCGGCATTAAATAAGTTAAGTAAATTATCTGGCTTTCATCAGTTAATCATGTCATGAAGATGTATGGGAGAATGGAGGCATAGCTCCTCTCATTCTTACCTTCAGCACAAGATGGAGGTGAGTGGTCAGCTTCATGCCCGAGCATCTTTAGCTGCAGGGAAAGAGCCCCTGGTAGCCATTGGATAGGAGACTGGGTGACCCCACAGACAATATGGATGTTATGGAGAAAAGAAAAATCTCTTCCTCTGCTGGGAGTGAAACCTATAGCTTACTGCTGTACCGACTGAGCTGTCTTGGTTCTTTAGCACTAATTCATCGAGAATCAGTTTCCATTTGGAAGCTGATATGAAAGGAACATAATGTTAGAACTGGATGAATTTATTTTGCTTATTTTATTAAATTTAAACTTCAAGCAGTGTTGTATCTGCCATCTTAAAATAATGACTTCATAATTGTTTGTTTTGATGTATGAAGGTAAAGCTAAGTTTGGATGTCCGGTGACCTGAATAGTTTTTTAGGTCTGTTGTACATTTGTTAGAAACCTGTTGTGTTTGCCATTTCTGCATGATAATGTACCCATTTTTAATAAATGGATACATGGATTTTGATGAAATTAGGTAGTTGATAAGCCAGTATATATGTGTAACATATATCCATCAATGTAAGATTGAAAGTAATTTTTTCTTTTAGCAGAACATCACACCAGCTGTTGGGTGCATACAGTGTATTTAAAATTTGTAACTTTTCTATTTCCCAATGTGGGCCTAATAGTGAACACCGAAAGATATTACAATATGTGCTCCATACTCTTGTCGGTATGCGTGCTAACTGTGACTCCTAAAGTCATGTGCAAGTACGAGATTCTATCGGAAAGTTCCAGGACTTAATTGTTGCATCTGCCTCGGTGAAAGATGAGAGGGGAGGCCAAGGTCACACTTACGCAAGTTACTTGCATCAGTCTGCCACATGATATCATGCTGTGAACATTAATTGTTTTTACACAATTCCTTTTTCAATTTAGTGTTAATTTTGTCTGCTATGGCTGGCAAAATTGAGCAACGTGACCACATCAAGTTTTGCATGAAGCTCAGTAAATCCACTATCAGAGCCCTTGAAATGGTTTGTGAGGCTTTTGGAGAATATTCTTTGAGCCATACAGTGGTTTATGATTGACATTCACGTTTCTAGGCCAGTTGAGTGTGTGTTGAAGATGATGAACTTTCAGGGGGACTGAGCATCAGCAAAACGACAGAAAATATTGAAAACATTTGAGAACTTATCCACAAAGACAGTTGCCAAATAGTCCATGAGCTTGCAGACTCCGTTGAGATTAGTAATGGAGTTTGCCAGGAGATCCTAACAGAAAATTTGAATATGTGCCACATTTCCGCGAAGTTTGTTCCCCAACTCCTGACAAATGATCAAAAGCAGCGCATGTAAACGTGTGTATTGAGCTACAAGAGAATGGTAACAAGGACCCAACTTTTACAAGTATCTCTAGGATCATAATGGGTGATGAAAGTTGGATTTACGATTATTCAGGAACAAAGCAACAGTTGTCACAGTGGAAGTGCCCACAATCACCAAGAACAAAAAGGTTCAGCAGGTCTGGAGTTTAACAAAGAGCATGCTTATCGCTTTTTTTGACATGAAAGGGATGGTTCACCATGAATTTGTTCCTCCTAACACTACAATCAACTCTGACTTTTACTCAGACATTTTGAGACGCTTGAGAGAAAATATGCGACAAAAAAGACCAGAACTTCGGCGCAACCATAACTGGCTCCATCACGACATCGCACCCACCCACATGTCCCTAAAAACCACAGAGTTTGTTACTAACAACAACATGATTATCGTTCCCCATCCTCCCTACTCACTGGACTTAGCCCCCTTTGATTTCACCTTGTTTTCCAAATTGAAAATGAAACTGAAGGGACGGACCTTTGAAACAGTGTCTGAGATGCAAAGGGAATTGCAAGCGGTATTTGACAGCATTAAGGAAAATGACTTTCATGGTGCTTTTGAGGCATGGAAAAAATGATGGGATCACTATACACGTTCCCAAGGAGACTATTTTGAAGGAGATGGCAGCCTAAATTGTGTAAGTTAAGCCAGCATTTCTTTTTTGACCTAGTCTGGGAACTTTCCAATACACCTCGTATTGTGGTAGAGTTTTCGGATGTGATTCGAATCCTTTTTGCAATAAATTTATAGTTACATGAGTAAACTTTAATTTCTAAACCTGAATGTTATTTATTCTGTGAAGTTTAAGCCCATTTATATTGTGATACTGATGAGGCAACCAACTGTATTCCGGCTGAAGAGCAGGTGCTTCTTAAAAGTTTTTAAATAATATCTCACAGGATAAATTTCTCATTTGTTAATGTAGCAACCTGTCACAAGTGTTCAGACACCAAGTGGCAACATTGCAACTACCACTTCCACAACACCCTCAACACTAGAAGTGCCACCCCAGCAACAGGTAATTTCACCACAGCAGGCGTCTGCCCCAGCGCCAGCAGAAGAGAAGCAAGTCGGTGCTGAGCCAGGCAGCTTGGAACAGCAACTTCTGGCAGGCCAGCCGCCCGGTACTGTTATAAAATGCGTCACTGCCCAAGTGATCCAAACTCCACAGGGGCCACGCATTGTACTGCAGGGCCTCCATGGTGCAGAATTTACACAGCAACAACTTGCTGTCGTTCAGCAGCAAGTTAAGCAGCAGCTACTGAAAGGTATCATCAGCACTTGCTTGTGTGGGTCAGTTCACATTGGAACCCTCATTTAATATTCAGTTTCAGTGATCCCACATCCATAATGGTCATGTTAGATTTCTGCTGTTCAAGATTGTCCTCATTTTAGTGTTCAGATCCACTGCTCCCCAGTGAAACTTCGAATGGGTGTTCATGATTGTATTACAAGAGGGTGCATGAGGGCATGAGAAAAAATACATTTTTAATATAAGGTCCAGGTGAAATAATTTGCTGTAGCCATGTTTAATTATCTCTTCCATAAACACCCATCAGAATTATTAGTTCAGATATTGAAAAAGATTAGAGGAATTAGATTTAAACATTTGTCAGCATTATTCATCACCAACTAAAGAGCACCAGACAGCATTTTAAAAATTTTAAATTTTTACTCAAATTGGTTATGAGACTAATCATTAATTGGTTTATCATAAAATGGAGTATAAAAAAGGTGAAGTCCTCCCTGTGGGGCATGCAGTAGCATAGTTGGTTGAGGCACTGTGCTACAAACCGGAAGGTCCCGATGAAGTCATTGGTTTTTTTCAATTGACCTAATCCTTCCAGCCGCACTATGGCCCTGGGGTTGACTCAGCCTCTAACAGAAATGAGTACCAGGAATTTTCCTGGGTGGTAAGAGGCTGCAGGTGCACATGACTGACAGCCTCACTGCTATTTGTGAGCCGATTGTCTGGACAGTGTGTGAGCCTTGATGTCCTACAGTCCTGTGTGCCTACATAGCTTGTTACAGGGATAGCTTTACCTTTTTTTTTATTTAGTTCTCCCCGTGCTTAACTAATTAAGCACTACGCGACGAAGGCATATGGGGGAGATGGATGTATAGATCCACATTTTCTTGACCTTGGCACTAACTGGAGGTGAGTGGTCACCTTCACACACCGGCCGCTTTACCCATCCCCCGGTACCCATTGGAAAGGAGGTTAGGTGGATCCCAGAGCCAGTGTAGACAATTTGGAGAAGAGAAAATTCTTGACCCTACTGGGAATTGAACTCTGACCCCTTGATCATCCAGCCCATAGCAAGCCACTATACCGACTACACTATCCCAGCCCATTAACAGGAGTATAAAGGATTGCATTTATTTGCATAAAAGAATTTGGTAAAAGCAAACCATGTCAGAGAGTTTGGTAATCACTGATATAAATGAAATGCTCATTATAATGCCAGAATATGTGGTGTGTGTGTGTTATATGTCACTGCTCACTTGATGGAAACCTGTTTGTATGGTGAAATATAATTTGTTTTAATGTTTTGTTGATGGTGAAAGCAAGAGATGAAGTTGTCCTTTTACTTAATTAAGCACCATGCCATGAAGATGTGTAAGGGAGTGGAGATGTATCTTCATGCATTCTCATCCTTGGCTCTAGATATAGGTGAATGGTCAGCTTCTAACCCTGACAACTTTTCCCGAAGGGAGATAGCTCCCAGTATCCTTTGGACAGGAAAAGGTGGGCCACAGATTCACTGCTAGCATTATGGGAAAGAGCAAATTGTTGTGTACCCATTGGCTGTTAGTCTCTGGTGTAGTCACGATGCTGGCTGAGCTATTCAGGCTCCATTAATGTTGATGGGTAATGAAACATACTGTAGTCTTGTCAACAGGTGAAGCATCAGTAAAATGATGTAAATGGATTTGTTTTATAGCACAAGCCACAACAGGAAAGCAGGGTGTTCTGGGTCCAACAAAGATATATCTGGCAGTACAGCCCCCACCTACATCAGTCCAACAGCCTGCAGCAGCAGTAACTTCTCCTGCGAGCACCGTGACAGCAACGAGCCCGGCAACAGTGCCAGCTCCGGTGACAGCCCAGTCTCCTACCAAGTCTCAGCCGAAGGTTGTCGTCCAGCAGGTTGCACAGCCTGACACGCAACAGGTATGTTATGGTGCATGGGCTAGTTCTGTGCATTCACTGCCATGCCCTTGCTGGGCCGCTCATTCTTGTATGAATTTACTGCATTCATAACAAATGGAACAGAACAAGTGAAAATCGGTCAACCAACCATGTATGTTTTTACTTTTAATGCTTCAATATGTGACACATTTTCTCTGCAATAGTGTTAGATCTCAAGAAAAAATGTTATGTACACTGTAGTGATATCACTTCACTACATTGACACATATGCAGATATGATCTGATTTTGACAGCAAGTGGCTGAATATGTTATCGTTTTACATGTTATGTTTAAAAGCTATTTTAATACCTTAAGTTTCCATAAGGGTGAAACGCCATAAACTCAATGTTTGTAACATGGGTACACTGTTGCTAGTGCTGGGGAAGTAGTGGGAAGTCCTCAAAATTAATTAGATGATGTGAGCCTTTTATGGGGAGTCATCTATTTCAGATTGTACTGTGTAATGCAGGGGGCATGCAGTAGCGTAATTGATTGAGGCTCTGTGCTCCAAGCTGGAAGATTGTGATTTTGATTCTCAGTGAGGTCACGGGATTGTTCAATTGGCATAATTCTTCCAGAATTACTGGGATTTTGGACATTGTCCATCATCTAGTATTCTAGAAACTAGAAAAAACGTTTTGGAAACTATGCAGGTAAGGGGGGAAGACAACTACTTTCTTGGATCCCTTTTCTAGTTTCTAGAATACTAGATGATGGATGAAGTCCAAAATCCCAGTAATTCTGAGTATTATACAAGTGAGGACACTAAGTGGAGGTTCCATTTATACCACTTATCCTTCAGATATTCAAAGCATAATTCTTTGTCTGATGGTGTTTGAAGATTGGACTGGTAGCAGCCTCGAACACAACTGCGGCAGGTGGCATTCCTGTATCTCAGCAGCAGGTAGTGGTGAACGGTCAGCAGCAGGAGACTGACGAGCAGCTTACATTGCCGGGTGGCACAGGAGCAGAAGCAGGGACACTGACAGCAACTTCCACCGCAGGTACTGGTGGCCTGTTAGGCATCACGCCAGGAACAGCAACATCCGCTGCAAACAAATTTGTTCTAACACCAGAATACATCCAACATAGTGAGTACAGTAGTGTTGTAAATGAACGAAAATTGCAACAAGTCGAAGAAGCGCTCGTATTTGCATGTCATTCTTCGAATTTGGCGATCACGTTAATCAGGAAGTGAACGCCTTATAAAAGTTTCGGTCTGGAATTACCTGTCTAGAAGAGCCTTTGCAGAGAATTTCTGCATTGCTCAGGAATGTTATGGATGTGAGATTTTTTAGTTTCTCACAGTGGTGACTACAAGGACTGCTGTGTGCTGGTATGAAGCATTGTGCAGTCTGGTAGAAGTTCACAAAAATTTTGGAAGAATGAACTACCTCCATCTTCAGGGTCAGAGAGTAAGCCACTTAAGTAAGCAGCAAGCTGACTGCTTCCTTCCATTTACTTGTTTGGCCTACCTTTCAGCTCTGAGGATGGAGTCAGTATATTCCTCCTAAATGATGTTCATCTTTGACTGGACTGTGCAGCATCATGTCCCAGATGATTGTAGTCTTTGACGTTCCAGACATTTATTTTGGTGTTCAAATGAAAGAATTTTCGAAAGTTAACCGCACTCAGAACATTCAGAATAAGAAACTGCTTCCGTCAATTTTCGTACATTAACCAGGACTGTGTGGAATACATTTTAACTGGTGTTCTTGGTGTTATGTTGGGTTTTGGCTATCTTGCATAAGTGTCTTACGGGAATGTTACAGCTAATTATATCTGTTACACAATCAGGGTGTAACAGCTTAACAGTGTGTAATGTAAATAAGTTAAATATGTTTAAATTTTGTGTAAATTCCATGTTTAGGTACATTTGCATTCCTGCAGAATGTCTGTTAAAAGACTTTTAATAATTTTGTTCATCTGCCTTTATATATGAACCAACTTCAGAAATGAATGGATTTTCATGAATTTGATAGTAGGGAACTTACTGAAATTTGTAAGCACATTCCAGTTTTCTATAAACGCAGACAAATATTATAAACACATTACACTAGGATGTACTTGCATTTCTGAGCATATCTCAAGGATATGCTCAAGTTATGTTCACTGTTTGCTTTGAAATGCATGTGAATGAAAGAATGTTTCAGAGAGAAGTTTTTGAGAGAAATGGAACATGCATTGCACGAGGGGAGGACCCAAAAATCCAGAAACGACCTGTTGCGCGCACATGCTTTGTAGTTACGAGTTGTGCTGCTAGGTGATGTTAGCTGGGGGTCTCTCGCGACTGTTAGTGAGCTGGCGTCAGTCTNGGTTTGCACATGAGACGGGTGTCTGCAAAATTTGTTCCTCGCTTGCTCGGAGATGACCAAAGAGAAAACCGCATGAATGTTTGCCATGACTTGAAGAGTGAAGTGCAGTTTTCCCTAACAGCAAAATTTCATGCACACTCTTTGTTCCTTCTGGTCGGCCATCTCACTAATCGCCAAAGGGTTGAAACAGGAACGCACACAACAGAGCACCACAGACAAACCACTTAACTCAGACTGACGCCGGCTCACTAACAGTCGCGGGAGACCCCCAGCTAACACCACCTAGCAGCACAACTCGTAACTACAAAGCATGCGCGCGCAACAGGTCGTTTCCGGTTATTTTTGGGTCACCCTTCGTATGTTCACTGTACTTTTTCTATTAGTCTTATTGTTTTTGAGGTGTTCAAACAAACGGGAATAAATGCCCCAGAATCGTTAAAAAATTACTGATTTTTAATATTCAGCACACAGTGGTGGTCTTCTGAACATACACAACAATTGCTGAACAATCAGCAGCAGTTTTTCAAACACGCAGTAATGACAAAATTTTCTTATTCTCAGTAATAATTAAATTGTTAGGTCTGCTTATATATAAATGTGGACAAACATGCTGCTATAGCCGTTACCATATTAAGATTTAAAGCTGGTATCTTTTGAGATAACTACACATCTACAATTCTTTATTAGAGTCCAGCGCAACACAACAATACAATGGTCAAGGCTAAAATTAGCTTATCTATATGTTTCGGCTGTTAAAGCCATTATCAGGCAAACACATGATTACCATAGTCACACACTACTGAACTGCAATTGCGATAGTGAAGCTGGATGCTTGATAATTATTACATTATAAAATACATGGTATAAAATACAATAAACTATAAATTTATTATAAAATGAAAGTTATGACATAAAATAAGATTTAAAACTCTTCATGTGATATGTGACTTGATGCAACAACTGACTTGATGATAAGGAATATCACATGAAAAGTTTTTAACCTTATTTTATGTCATAACTTTCATTTTATAATAAATTTATAGTTTATTGTATTTTTTACCATGTATTTTATAATGTAATAATTATCAAGCATCCAGCCACCATCACAATTGCAGTTCACTAGTGTTGGTATGGTAATCATGTGTTTGCCTGATGATGGGTTTAATAGCCGAAACATGTAGCTAAGCTAATTTTAGCCTTGACCATTGTATTGTTGTGTTACGACGGACTCTAATAAAGAATTGTGTATAATAACACAACAAACAGGATGCACGAAATGAAAACCACACATGTATTGGTGAATACAATAGAATTGTTACATATTGCATTAATTTCCTAACTTCTTAATGTCTTCTGTGTCTGCTGCCCTAATTCTGCAGGCTTATAACTCAGATAGTATGGCTGAGCTATCAGTTATGACAAATATATTGAAAGGGGGCCATGGTTCGCAATCTATGGTGTTTCATGAGAAGTTAAGCATATACCAGGTACACATTGTATGCTTCTATGAGTATTATCTATGTACAGGTAAGTAACACACGTACATATCTATATACAGGAAAGTATGGAGTGTTCACATATGAGATAGTGTGTGTATATGTGTGTATGCACATGTATTTTGATATTTTGAATGTTCTGATAGTGTCGGATAATTTCAAATTGTTTCTAAATTATTTTACTTTCATATCTTGCAGCTCTTTTGCTGCCTTTCACGATGTTTCACGCGCTTTTTGTCATGATGCATCACGTACTCACTATAGCCAAACAAGTTGGTTTGTACAGTAACACTTTTGACTTGAATTAAGGAGGTGATATGTATGAATCTTAGCTGGGACACTGACCATCTGTGCCGAGGTTTCTTATGGTTTTCCTCAGTCTCCAGAGGAAAATGCCCTGGTAATGCCTCAATTAGGTGACAACTTTTCACATTCATTCATTAATTGCCCTACCATTCAACAGTATGTAGTCTGAGATGCCGAAAGAATCATGAACTACACCACAAATAAATACTCACTCTTTTCGTCACACTTTTTAGTGTTTAGAAGATAATATAATTTTATAATAAAGTTGAAACTCCTTGCTGGAAATATAATTTTATAATAAAGTTGAAACTCCTTGCTGGAAAGTGGAATTTAAAAATATTTGGTAGAGATCATACTTTATTCCCAATTGTTTTGATGTAGATATGCTTTATACATTGAATTAGGTCTTGAATATTTATGTACTTTCAAATTAGCATGCAAACTGAATGGATTTCTTGTTTTGTCTCAGCAATTAAAAATGCGCTAAAGCAGGAAAATTTGAACCCAGAAATAGAGGAGAAGCTCCTGCAATTGCAGCGTTACCAGGAGAAGCAGATGAAGCATGACAAGACAGGGGAAGTGCCAGTGCAACCCCAAGTGACCACTAGTGTGCTTACGAAGGCGCCAGCAAAGAAGAGGCCTTCTCCGGTGACATCACAACCAGCCAACCAACAGCAGGAAGACTGGGAGTCTACACCCAAACGGAAGGTCACAAAGCTTGATACCAGAGATGCCAAGTAAGTCATACTACACAGCTACAGGTGGAGTTGTAAGTTGCCTGGTTGTACAGGTTTGGTGTCCGGGCTTGAGCTCTGAGCTAACAGCTTTTCTGGGAGTAGGAGATTTTAAGTCCCCTGGTTATGCAGGTTTGATGGCTGGGCTTGAGCTCTGAGCTAACAGCTTGTCTGGGAGTAGGAGATTTTAAGTCCCCTGGTTATGCAGAGTTGGTGTCGATATTCTAACTCTGACCTAACAGCTCATCTGGGAATAGGAGATTTTATCTCCCAGTACTACTAGGTTGATGGATGGATTTTAACTCAGAGATAACAGGTTCTCTTCTGATAATAGGAAATTTTAAATATCCTGCTATTATAGGGCTGTTGGCCAGACTCTTGTTATTCAGGGTTGATACTTAACCATCCAAGAATAGGGATTTAAAACCTTATGATGCAGTGGGGTTGGTGGATGTATTAGAACTTGGGAATAAATATTATTGTCACGTGTTGGGTGAATAACTTCACGCCGTATTGGATATAGCGAATTTATTCCACTCACTCTTACAATCACACCATTTACAATCTCACAATTACTGCCATCGGCAGTATCACAAATACTAGACTGCAATTAACTGGTTACTCTTTCTCTAGTAACTGGCTCAATACTCACTACTCACTACTAATCACTCACTACTAACTGAATAGTGTTCGCTGCTCCTTACTTAGTCTCGGCGCGGACAACACAGAAAACATTTACGTGACAGGTACCGCTGTTGCCTGATGCTGTGTTTACAGGTTGCCTAGCAACACTGTCAAGAGTTGTTTACTGCTCTGTAGCAACCAGGGCATCCACCACTGCGTCACTGTTGTCATCTGCCACGTCACAGTGGGAAGCGCTGCCACATCACCGTGGGGGAGGGGGCAGAGCGCTGACCGGCCCATCACCGTAGCAGCGGCAGCGCTGTTACACCACCACTGGCGGGGGAAGGGGTGTTCTGCATAGTGCAAATACGTCACACTGCTCCCTCCTTAAGGCTGTTTGTCGTGAACAGCCTAACGTTATATCCCCGTTCCTTTTCCTTTAGTGTTTGTCTTCGGGCCGCTACCTCCGCCCTCCTCCTTCAAATGTGCTCATCCCGAGCAATTCCATGGTCCAGCAGTTGTTGATTCCATCCTCTCACAGTCATTCGTCACTCATTCACTCATTCTAGCTGGGGAGGCCGATGCTTCCGTGTTACTGGTTCCTCCACCATGTGCTATTCCATTTTTTCCATTTTGGAGGGGGTCGACACCTCCACAAGGTCCAATCCTTGTCTTGTCGTAGGCTGACAGAAGATCCGACTATTTACTTCATGATCTTCATGCTGACAATCTCCTAGAAGGCTTTCTTACAATTTCTTCTCCCTCCTAGGTGCGATCGCTGTCTTGATCTACACCCTCTGTTGGCGTTCTTGGTTGGCACCTTTTTCTTCTGGCATAGTGGCAGTCTGCCGCCTATGTCCTTTATTCCCGTTCTTCTTCTGTGGAGAATCTGCAGTCTTTCTCTGAGTCACCGGAGTCTTTCCTCATACTTGGTCTTGGTACAGTTTTTCCTACTGAGGCTTCTCTTGCGCCATTCGATTCTTGGACGACCAGACATCTTTCTGCCAATTTCTTTTGTCTGCCATGCGTCTAGAAGAAGGAAAGCTGGCCTCAGTGGACACGAAACCTGCGGTAGCACAACAAGAAGAGGTCCCCATAGTGGTATCAGTTGGAGTGACAATGGCCTGCCGAGAAATGGAGGCACGTCCAGAAGAAGAAGAGCCGGCTTCAGTGGACATGAAACCTGAGGCGGCAGAATGAGAGGTACCTGTAGAAGGTGCTGAATTAATCCCGGTCGGAGAACTGAAGAGGAAAAGGCGTAGGGACCAAAACCAGCGAAATATGAAGAATTTGACACGGGAAAATTTTGGACCCCAGATGAAGTTGGCCATCGCCCGCAGAGGGACGAGCTGCTATGTGGAAGTGGCATGGCAGAAGAAAACCAGCAGGAAGATGTCCCACCGTGCAACAGTGGCATGGCTCAAGAGAAACATCATCAGGAAATTTTGGACCCGAGGAGGTGGTGTATCCCGGATGAAGTTGGCTGCCACCTGCAGGAAGGTATCCCGTCGCGCAACAGTGGTACGACGTTGGAGAGATGCCTTCAAGAAGGAAACTACCCAGGGAACCTTCGGATGCTGGTGAAAGGAATTGGCCATCGGCAATTGTCTACACTGTCTCTGCAAGCAGCCTTATGACGAGTCTCAACCATTGCAGGGTGCCCATAGCAGAGTAGAGAAACCAGCAGTGGGCCCAGTTGCACCACAGTCTCGTACCAGCAGGTGGTGGGAAGACCAGGAGGAACAACGTCAGCAGGTGCAAACGGCACTTCAAGTGCTGTTATGTTGACATAAGGAACTTCCAAAGAAAGACATGATCAAGGACTGGACCATGTGGAGGGGTCGACCCCTTCCAAAACGAAAAAGAAGCAGAGCGCAGAAGAGGAGCCGGTAAATTAGAAGCACCGGCCTCCCAAGCAAGAATGAATGTGCGATGGGAGAAAGTGAAGGAGTGAATGTGATACAACTGGATCTTCTGGTGAGTTAACAGCAAACCGCTCGAGACGAGCTGGTCTTACAAGGGGAGCGGAGGTAATGGACAGAGGATAGTAGCTGCAAGAGGAGTAGCTGGACAAGAATGAAGAAGACGTTGCAAGAACAGCCTGCAAATAAAAGGAACGGGGATGCACCGTCAGGCTATTCGGGACGAACAGCCTTAACCCTTTCGCGCGGTCATTTAAATTCAGCTGCAGTGTCTCTCCGGCGGTAATATATTCAGCCGACCATTTAAATTTTGCTCGAAAATGATTTATTCATCATTGTTCTTAAATTATATGAGATAGGAACATGAAACTTCACTAAAATGATCTTAAAAGGTGGTTTTATAACCTTACCTTATAATATGAGCGCCCGGTATCTCGGCAATGGAAGCAGGTCGTTAGAATTTGAGCAGTGTATGGTACGCCTTGAAGCATGAAACTTTCACTAAAATGATCTTAAAAGATGGTTTTTATAACCTTACCTTATAATATGAGGGCCCGGTATCTCGGCAATGGGAGCAGGTGGTTTAGAATGTGAGCAGTGTATGTTACGCATTCAAGCATTCTTCTATACACAACGCTGTCTCACATTCACCACACCAAAACTGCGTATCTTTCATTTGGCCCTTTTTTCCGTAAACCACAGATATTCTGTGCGGTCTTGCCTTCTTCTCAAAGGAGGAATACTAGGAAATGTCTTTCCGTGAGTCGATAAGCTTGCCAGGTCAGCTGCAGTAAATTCAACTGTTACGAGTTATCATAACAAGGGGTTGGTGCTATGCTTTTTTATATTCCATTTTGGCTGCAGTAGATGTCGTAGGGGTGACCACAGAATTCATTAAGTTATTCTAAGAACTGGCTGGTATGTAGTGCACGAAAGCAGAGCTTAGCTGGCTCAAAAAATATTTATGGTCGTCCCTCGAAACGACCACCAAGGTCAGTACGATAAAATGGAGTCAACTGGAGCGATAATACATGAAGGAATGAGTTCTTTTCCCTCCCGCACACACACCCGTATCATCACAGGGGGTGACCACAGTGTTCTGCCTTAATTTGTGGCGTTTTTCTAAGAACTGGCTGCTATGTACTGTGCGAAATCAATCGATCTTGCAAGAATAAAATTTGGACATCCCTCTTCTAAGAATTCCAATTGAGTGTGTTAGTGTGGCCAGCTCAGGGCAATATGATATTATAAACACAGCACATATCACGTCTCTGCTGTTTATAACTTCATAGGAAAGAAAACACGCCATTCATAACAGTTTGAATGAGGAAACTTCTACCAGAAGCAACACGAATTTGCTGCAAGACAGGCATATGTAACGATGGCTTAACGCAGCTAAAGTCATGTCTCATTATATACTGTTCTTCTGACAACAGGCCAGTGAAAAATCTAACAATCTACAGCAAAACCATCAATTATTACGGGCGTTATAACATAGGTGTGCAGGTGGACGAAACATAGACGTCGAACCCCCGCAGACGATTTAAATACCTTGACGAAACATACACGTCAAACCACGCTGTACGGTTAAGGAGGGAGTAGTGTGATGCATTGCGCTATGCAGGACACCCCCTCCCCCGCCAGCGGTGACGTAACAGCTTTGGAGTGCTGCCGCTGCTACGGTAACAGGCCAGTCAACACTCCGCCCCCCTCCCCCGTGATTACTGCACAGCAGGAAACAACTCTAGACAGCATTGCCCAGCAACACCTGTAAATAGGCGACAGCAACAGGGAAGTGAGGTGCTTTCTGTTGTCTTGCTGAGGGTTTATAATAGAACTGCACTGCCTAAGGAGTCAGTTGAATTGGAACAGTTGCCGAGTTCAGTTGTAGTGAGTGAATCGTGAACATGAAGAATACCGATAGTGTGAGAAGTTGTTTGGAGTTTGTAATACAGTGACCCTGGTATAGCTCCCATGTTATAAATACTTGAAGACTACTGAGGACAGTGTTCTGCCGTGGTGACAGGGGGCGTGGAGGTGTCGCTTAGGGAGGGGCTCAGGTAAATTTACAATCACTGACATATCTGCCACCTTGGCTTGAGTTTGCAGTTCTCCTGGAGGATTCGGAGGGAGGCTGGAGTCGGCAGGGAAGAGGATAACACTCGAGGGAATGCTAGGTTCAATTAACATCACAGCGCATTTCTATCCTACTCTATTCACCTATGTCGCTATATACATAATATATACACCATTTGCCAGCGTTCGTCGGTTCGCATTACATGTGGGTTATTATCCTGTAGCACACATTAGTTCACTCCTGTCACCCTGCTATTGGGTATCCCATCCCTCTATCTCTCATGCTCAGTAAACCTAGTCCATCTAGTCTTCACTTTCTCTCCCTGGGGTTCGCACTTTAATATTATCACACTTAATGTTCATGGCTATATGAAGTAAGTA